GGGTGGGAATAATTATGATAGGGCAGATAGTTGTTCTACATAGAAACAAAGGAATGAATTAAACTTGTTTTTAAACAGATTTACTAACTTTACAAAGTATCTGAATTCCATCAATACTAGTCTGCACTGGCATAATAATATTCCTAAACCTGTCTTTCTGACCAGGGCAAGGGAGAAGAACATTCCCAAGGTAGACCTCAGAGCCTCCATCAGATTCATCCTTCCACCTACACCTCCAAATTCCTGCCCTCCAGTTCTCTTCTACTGCTAGAATATAATCTGGGAAGAGATGTTTTATGTAGCTATCCTTTGATTGTTAGTTCCATTACCAAGTCATCATATGATGCCTCCTTATTTTAAATACAGATTTTCTTGCATACCTTTGATATTAATGGTAGAAATGTATATCAAATAGTTACGTTAGTTCAGCTCTAGCAAACTGTATGATGACATTTTATTTATTTCTTTATGCAAATGAATTTGAGTGTTGTTTTCTGAATGTATGTCTAACCACTATTTGTGAAAAGTCAAGATTGTCACTACTTTAAAAGTTATTATTTTTAAATAACCTTCTCTGTCAAGAAAAACTGTTAATATTGACATACTATAATGGGTTGTTACTTCTTTCTGTAAAAAGAAACAAGAATGGTACTAGACAGTGGAGAGAATCATTTTACTGAACTGATTCTAAATCCCAAAGGCACTCGGTATTTAAGTTCTTTTTTAAAAAAACAAGAATGTGTTATTAAAATTAAAATATGTATCATAAGCAGTAGAAATTATCCATGGAAATTATATCATTCAGTGATCGGGATACTATGCTAATCAGACATATATCAAAGCTAATTCTCACTTTTAGCACATACTTTCATACATTGATTTTTATCCAGCTAGACAGATGGATGCAAAAACCTTGTCTTTACTTGATCAAGAGAGCTGTAATTCTTACGAGCAAGAGCAGACATAGCAAACTCTAAAATTGTAACCATAGCAATTTATCTGGTTTGTGTAGGGAACGAATGGGATCCGATGTTATGTTTGAAACAGCAAGAAATCCTAAGTGCCCTAAGGTAAGTTTATTTTCCTTGTCTTGAACTTCTTGCCACTTATTTTTAATCATGTCTTACACAGTGCAGTATTGATATCCATTCTTCCTCCTCCCTTCCTTTAAAAAAAGAAAGGATGGTCAATTTTAAATAGCCTAACAGTTTGTCTTTGTCAGTTAGGACTTTCTTGAACTTCTGTCAGCTACTGCTACCAAACTTTTAGAGTAAAGGATTGTGATCATTGTTGTCAAAATAGTTAGATTGCACCTAGTGGCCTTTTCCTAGTTTAGTAATTTAGGGGATACTTCAGATTTTTAAAAATTTATTTTAATATTTATAGGCTGTTATTCAAAGATGTCTTACAGCACTTTGAAAGACTAAGATTCATTTTATCCTACAACAGAGCTAAAACCATGACCTACAAGCCATCTAATAATATTACAACAGCAGCAGTTATATCAACAGATAGACAGTATAATATAAAAACAAGCAGCTAAGTGTAAGATGTAAAAGAACCATCTTAAAATAGTTAAATGAACCCAGTTAAAAGTACAATTTAAAAGAATAAGAGCTGTTTAGAATGAAAAAGCATTCAGAGTCCATTTAAAAATCTATGTTGAAGAACATGTATATACGTACATGTGTGTACATGCACACACATACAGTCCTTTAGAGTTTATAAATGTAACACTGTAATAGAAAAGGCTCTTGTCTATAATTCCTTCCAGCATTACTTAACAAAAAGTAATTTTATTTTATTTTATTTAAAAGAATAAGAGCTGTTTAGAATGAAAAAGCATTCAGAGTCCATTTAAAAATCTATGTTGAAGAACATGTATATACGTACATGTGTGTACATGCACACACATACAGTCCTTTAGAGTTTATAAATGTAACACTGTAATAGAAAAGGCTCTTGTCTATAATTCCTTCCAGCATTACTTAATAAAAAGTAATTTTATTTTATTTTATTTTATTTTATTTTATTTTATTATTTTTTTCTTAAACAAATTTATATGGCCACCCAACTCACACGTGGTGACTCCAGGTGGCTTACAGAATTAAATGACTTATATATTTAATTTTTTTTTTTTAATTGATGCTTTAGCACAGTTATCTCAAACTAATTTATCCAACAAATAACAAGATAGGGAAAGCATGCAGAGCATGGCTTCTGGAATTCTCTCCAACCCCTACCAGTGGTAGCCATAGGAGACATCTGGAATTTCTGTATAATGAAGTAATGGGTGGGAGGGTTGCATCCGCGCAGATTCACCCTAGGGACGGACGGACGGATGGACTGATTGATTGATTTGCCAGACTTGTATGTTGCCAAATCTCCCAAGACTAATCAATCTGCTTGCATATATATTATATGTTGCTTCTCCTTGTGCTTCTGCCTACCTCTTGTTTCTGTGTGTTTTTGTGATATGTGTACACTGGGAAGCAGAGAGCCAGCTGCGTATGGTCCATTTTGACCAGGAGGGTTGAGCTTACAATGGAACAATCAGCAACATTCCAGTCCACTGTCCAGATGCCTGTCCTGAAGAGATGCATTGGGAGTGTTTCCATATATTTTTCTCAGATCCAGCCCATTTTCAAACGTCTTTTGTTTAACTAGCTTCTCCCCCCATAACATTTTTGGCCATGTTCTTTTATGTTTTTTGAGACTTAGAGTCGAGTCACTTTACTTATTTGTTTTCCCCTAACATTGTTAGGCTGACAGAATAATATTTCAACCCATTTCAATAATTTCTAACACTGTGAAGTTTAGATTAGTGTACTTTGCTTCATTAATTTGCTAAAAGTATTGGCTATGTCAACACCAATCAGAACTCTGCATTGCTGATGTCTTATGCAAGAAAAAGAAATTCATTGTATTTCAGCTCCACCTATGTACTGATTTTAATTCCCGACATGTTACCCCAGGGTTGGCTAGGAGATGTAAGAGACCTCTTGGATTTGTTAATTTACTTGAATAGCATTTTGTATTTTGTGATTAGGCAAGTGGAAAAACAACAGAGGTATAACAAATACTGCTGGTAAGTGCCTCACTGACAAAGACAAGTCTGTGCACTAGGAAATACATAGAAATGTTTATTCACTAACTTAGTAGGAGTAACAATTCAACATAGAATTGGTCAGCTTGTGTCCAATCTATCACTATACAGAGGCCTTGAACACCCAGTGCTTATTGTTCTATGCTGGGAAACAATAATACATTCCCTTCGAATTTATAATCTCTGAAGCATGATAAAGATTTTATTCACTTTCATTTTATGTTCAGTTCTATTTTGTTCCTAAGAAAACTGACTTACAGCGATGGATGGACCTTCTTATGAGAAAGAGTAACAATTAGCATGCTTTAAGATTGAGTGTGATGTGAATGTAATTCTGTTAGAAATGAGAAAGATTTGTTTTGCTTCCTTTTTCAATAATATCATAATTTCACATTTCATTATATGCACCTGTATCAAAAATATATTGTGAGTATCAAAACTGGACAAAATGCATGGCTACAGAAGACAAAGGCTAGTACCTGATGAAATGGAACATACAGGGACATGATGGAGGGATGGGCAGGGGGGTTATTTTATTTCTACTACTGTATGAATTTGAAGCTATATCAGGTAGTGCCTTCAGACATAATACTGCCTAGAAAAAATACTTTATTAAAAATAAATAAATTCTGGACTCAGTGAAGATATTTTAATCTCCATCCACTTATTCTGTGTGTGTGTGTGTGTGTGAATATGAATGATGTAATCCTAGGTTGATCTAATGTGTTAATGGCTTATTGAGCTGATTGTTGTAAGACAGGGATAGCCGTAATTGGACAAACAGCTATAATTTGATAAAATTTAGTATTTTGTTTTTATTAGGTGGCTGCCATAAGCACCATTGTAGGCAGAGGAACACCACTGAAAGCCTTTGTATTTAGAAATTACAATCACTTCCCTGGAGTAAAATCTCACTATCTTGGAGGTTGCCATTATAAATTATGGCAAGCTATCAGAGCATCATCTGCGGCGCCAGGTTATTTCCAAGAATATGCACTGGGTAATGACCTTCATCAGGTTAGTTGTAATATCTTATTTTAAATGCTCAGAGTTCTTTGTAGAATGATGAATATAGAAAAGCTAATCATTTATGGATGGGATTTAAGTAATGTGCAATTGGACATAAAAGTTTAAATATTATCTGGTAATAGTGTACTCTCATGTGCCAGTTCTATTTCACCCTCCCTTTATATATGCTATTGCATATGTGCTGGATTGTCTATGGCTCCTTGCCAAAAGTGTCTGTAATTCAAACACCCTCATGATTCTGTGGATGGCTTTAACCTAACAATAAAGGTGTTAGTCATACTGTGATCTGTGACAATATTCTGCATGTTTCGAGGTATACTGACAAACTTTAATGGAAAGAGTCTGCTGGGAGAGTTGTACGCTGATACTCATAATTGTTTCCACTGAATACAACAGCCCTTTTATATGTGACATTAAAAATGTATTGTCTTTGGTTCTGACTCCTGCCTAATGAACCCATTTATTAAATATACTAATTCTTTGATGTGTGACACTGCTGGGAGTTCTGAGACTGCTTCAGATGCTTTTAATTTGATTCAAATAATGCCTGTGAGGAAAGAAGTAAAAACCAGTTTTTCAGTGTATCCCTTTTCTCCTACATACAAGTGGAAGAAAAAAAAAGAGCTGTTCTCTTAAAAAAACAAAACAAAACAACAGCAACAAAACAGTTTTATATATACAAAATACAACTCCAGGAAAGTGAGACAATATTCAGCTGGAATAAGATGCTCTTAGTTCATTATAAAATGTCAAAACTGAAGTAAATTAGCAGTCCGGTATTCAGATCAGTGTATGTACTCCAGATGTCTGATTATGTATCCAAATGTATAGATAGTAATGACATATTCTGTAGAATGAATAATTGGTAAGGGAGATACAGCCTTCCAATTAAAAAAATAAATATTTTTATAAACACACATGCTTTTACAATCTACTTTTGCTGACTGACCACCGCACCTGGAAGTTGTCAGATTGGAAAAAATTGCTGTATCACATAGGACTTGATGCAAAGAATATTACAGACTGTTCTTCTTAACCTGTGTCAGAATAATTATTGCAACCCATGAATTGTCTCAGCATTCCAGACAGTATGGATTAAAATACCACCCACTATGAGGTACGCATAATGATTAGGTATTTTACATTGCCTGGTGGCTATATAGGACAAGTAGATAAAGGGGGGAAAGTTATATCTATTTAAATTGATGTTAAATCAGTGTTGCTGGAAGGTGCTGAAGTACACTGAAAAACCCTTTGCTGTGCAGATTTAATTTCAGGAGGAAAACTTGAGGAATGATGTTTTACAGGCTATATTAATACTAGTCTGCTACTTTATCCCAATGACATTTTCAATGGCACTCATTTATCTCCCCCCCCCCTTTTAAATTTAAAAGTATTTTACTAGAACAATGGGGATAAGGCAATGTAGAATTTAGTAAAAGCTGCAGATTCACTCTCCTTCTGTTCAAAAACCTTCCTGTGTAGTTCAGGGCACTAGATTTCTATATTTAAATAATATCATTATTAAAATTGCTTCAGCAGCTGTCAGTATTTTTTTTCTATTAGACCTCTCTGCCATCTGCTTAGAAGACTTCATGACTGGAAATCTCCTCTATACTAAGCTGTTAAACAAATATTCATAGTGATGATTGATATTTATTTTCAGAGTAAATAAGACTTCAATAAATAAAACTTTGTTTAACCTGAAATAGAGCTAAAGTGTTCTTAGATGTCCTGATCCAGAAAGTCCAAGGAAAAGAAGACAGATGAAGTCCTGGATACATAAGGCACTTAGGACAGAAGAAATACAGTAACAGTAGTAAAGTCTAGGC